TTCTCACCTCCTTACATTTAGTACTACTATATTGAGAATCGATTTACAACCAAATATTAAGATTGTTCTCAATAAAAGTATGTCAAACCTTATATTTTCTCACCTCCTTACATTTAGTACTACTATATTGATAATCGGTTTACAACAAAATCTTAAGACACTGTAGACTGCATCAAGCAACTTGCCGTTCAAATACATGCAATCATCGACAAATCAAGATTACATGTGCAGCCAAAAACTATAGCACAAGACCATGCTTTAGATCCTACTGTTTTCTCCAACCATCACTTATTAACACCAGCATTTGTAGCATGCGCACCATATTATTTAAACACATGTCAGATCAAGCAACTGCGTAGATCAGAAAAAGCGTAAATAGAGGATGAACCAAAGTTTGCAAGTTGGCAACGGTAATCGGTTCTACATTAAAAAAGGCCGGCAAACTATCAAAGCTATCTCTTGTCCAAATGTTTGACAGTTTTTAGTTCTAGCGAAGTGTAAAAGTAGCACTGACAAAAACGGAACCACCTATGCCACCATAGGTGGGGCTTGTAACAAAATACTAAAGACGCGAGAGCTTTGACATGCAATGATCAACGCTTCTTCTTGCTTCCCTTGGCAGCACTGGATTTTGATGGGGTCGCAACCAGGTAGATGAACAACACAACAATAGATACAACTGAAACAAGAGATCCGTATTTCGCCAACAGTCTCTGCGAGGAGTAAATTTCAAGTTAGCTCAAACGTAACAAAAACTTAAGACATACAGGCACAACTGCACAAGCATATCAAGAATGTCCCACATTGAGAATCCGAAATTAAAAAGTGAGCCATTTTCTTTCTTTTCCTTTTTCTTTTGTTTTTCCCCCAAGAACCTCAATGCAGAACCTCAATGCAGCTAATAATAAAATGGGCAGTACACAGAACAAAATGATCCAGTTTCAAATGGAAGCTAGTCAACAGTCTCACCTTAGCCTAAATCATGTCAGGAGCCGCCACAGGTCATTTCCAATCCAGAAAACAAGAAAGTGAGAAAAAAATTATTTAACAATAAAAGAATATGAAGCAGAAATATATGCTAAATCACTCAAAAAGTTACCAAATCAAACTTCTTTTCTGGTGGCCTATCTGCTAGAACATCAAGAGGCAGGATTGGAGTAGAATACGCCTCCTGAAACCGTCGCCAATCATATACGGAGCTAGTTTCAAAATTATCATAGAAAAAATTACAATTCAGGAGAATATCAAACCTGTAAGGCAGCCTTTGTAGGAACACGAAAAGCAATAAGTGCTGGTGACCCATAAAATAGAGTTTTCGTTTTTGCCTCCAGCTCAAAGGAATGAGATAGAACAGCCCCTCTGAGTAAATGGATAACGAGATTAACAAGATCAGATTTTAGATAGGCTGAAGTGAGATTAGCCACTTGTGTTTCGTTCACAAATTCTTTGAATACTAATAACTTACACATCAAGCCTTTCCCATGAAATTGAGGTGTTACCACTGACGACTTCAAATACCTCTGGGGACCAGCTATCATCATTGAGTGTTACATCATATGCAGTCCTGAACGTGCGGAATAATTTTGCATTAGAATATCATTCCATAAGGCCGTAATCAAAACAAAAGCTATCTCATGTAGTTGACGATTAAATCTCAAGATTGTACAGTTCCCATTAGCAGTTTAATGTTTCTATACATTAGTAAACTGCGATAGCGCCAAAAGATGACCAATGAAAGATCAAACTGATGACCAATACACATACCATGAATTCCATTAAACACAAATTAACAATTAAATGGAACCCTTTTAAACACGAGACATGCCTGAATTTATCAAATTTGTGGTTACAACAGCGAAGAGCAAAGGCGAATACTGATTTCTAACATAAGGACCATCGTAAATAGTGCATCATTATATGCCTGAATTATCATGTGCTCAACCAACCCACCAGGTCATTATGAATTATGGTCAACTCTATTGTTCTTGGGCAAAGATAGAAGTTATTATGCCTTAAATAGTCCGGAATCAAATCTTTATCAGGCATGTGTTACAAAGCATATTTTATCTTCCCAGCTATCCTTAATGCATTAATCAAGTAACCATAACAGCCGCATCTAACATACCAAGTTCATTAATTAAAGCTAAGAGAAAAGGTAATAAGACCACAAACCCATTAAATGTACAATCTAAAAAAGCAGATCTAGTTGATAAAAGGAAAAAAAGGGTAATCATAGCATACGCGGATCCTTGATTGTAGACATCAATGGAAACGGAGACGCGTTCGGATCCGGGCTTGAGCCGGGTCAGCGTCGCCTTCTTATGGGCCACGATGAAAGGACCGCCGGAGCTGGCGATGACCGATGCGGCGAATAATAGGGCTGCAAAGACACAGATTGCAGGCCCGGTGTTGATCAGCTGCGCCATTGGATTGCTGAACGGAACGACGGCGTTTTCGAGGTGCAGCGGGAGAGTTGGACCGTAGTAAGAGATTGAAGAGGTTAGGGTTGTTTTATTATAATAATGAAATAATAATATAATTTCACGACTAGTATATTGTATGATATAGTACATACAGTGTTAAATATAGCTGAATACATACTATAAAAGAGAAATTTCGATGCTGCACATATGCAGTGCCCACATGGCCTTTTGTACCGTTGATTTCACACATATTTATATATATGTGTGTATGTATGTGTAAATCAAGGGTGATGGGGGCATGACTGCACTGCCCCCACCACCAGCATCGAATCTTCCCTATAAAAGCATGTCATATCCTCGTGACAAATGGCAAAATTGAGTCCAACTTTGACGTTGTGTCTGAGTTCCATATTAGGATAAATAAATCAATGTTTAATGAAGTTGTAACAACATTGTTTGAGCTCTGATTTTTTTCAAGGAAAAACGCAAACAAGCAAAATCATACATATATGTTGATAAGATTAATTTTAAAATAATCTCCAACTATATTCATAGCCATAATAGGGCTTAGTTAGTTTACACAAAAATTTTGATTGTTGGGCTCAATTCTTGTTGGGCCGTGATAATCCATACCATACTGCATATAGGACGATTTTCAACGGATTGAATAGTCAATGGTGGCATGGCCGAGGCATGCATGCGTATTCACAGCTATACCCTTAAAAAATATAATAATATGTATTTATTGTCCTTATTTATGGAGTCTAATTATTAAATTGTAACCCATGCACTGAACTACACCGTGTGTTTGTCCCATTTTTGTTGTATTTTTTATTGACTTTTTATCTTTTTTTTTCCCACATATTAAGTCTTTTCGTTAAGTTTTATTCGTTTTTGTAAAGTATTGCGTTATTTGCTCTATTTTAGTTTTCTTTGTGTTTTCCATATGTTTCGGGTTCTCTTTGTTTTTGGTGTGCAGGTCGAAAGATTCGGAAGAATTTATTTTTTATGATATATGGACCGGGCGAACATCATTAAAGAGAGTGTTTTGTTAGCATTCCGCGGGAGAAAGTGGAATTGATTTCCGAATCCAAGCGAGCGTGAACGGGCCCGAGACGTAAGAACGTGCACCGAAGCCAGCAGCTTTAGGCCTGCCCGCGGAAACCCTCACGCTGCGGCAAGAACAAGCCTTATGCTCACGTCGCACCGCGCTGCTGCCATGTACGTACCCGACAGAGCATTCACGAACCAGCCTCGCGCCGCGGCAATGTGTGGCGCCGCGACTCCACCAGCTTCACGTCGTGTCCTTGCTTCACGCCGCGGTGAGTTCCACGTACCGCGTCGCGCCGCTGCCGCGACATCGACAGAGGACCCGCACCTTCCCGCCGCGCCGCGAACAGTGCCCCGCCGTGCCATACCCTTCTTCCTCGTCGTGTAGCTGTGTCGCGCCGCGACAACTGTTCTCTCCACGCCGCGCAAGGGCCTCGCGCCGCGGCACCTTCCTTCTCCACGCCGTGCTGCTACAACGCGCCGCGACACACTCACACCCAACTGTTCTCTCCACACCGCGAGCCTCCACCACGCCGCGGCACATCCATCCTTCACGCCGCGGCACGAGTTCAACGACGCGACACCTGCACGCCTATAAATATGCGGACAGAGCCTCGATTAGAAAAGAATCTCTGGACCGTGGGTGAAAGCCCTAGGTCCGAGAACACCACAAAAAACTTCATCTTTGCCATCTTTCGTCTTCCTCTTCTTCGTATCGTTTCTTCAGCTTCTCTTAATTATTTTCTTCCAATTTTCATCTAGGGTTTATTATTGCTTTTTGAATTAAGCTTGTAATTCATATTCGACACGTGAAATTGGGATTTATTGTAAGTTTCTCTTCTCTTCATTTGAATTCATGAATAATGATTGAATTGAAAGAATTGATTTATTGTGTTGAATTTATGTTACATAGCTGATTCTTTTTGCTAGGGATATGAGAATTATTGATCTTGTTTGACTTTCATTTGTCGGGCTTGATTTGTTCATTCTTGTGCGAGCTAGTTTGATTAAGGATTGATGTAATCTTGCTTGATTGATTGATATAATCGAAGAGTGACACTTCGATCTTGCAATTGGTAACGACTGAATGTTGGTTAGTCGAGTTAGGGTTTTGTTGATTCTAAATGGTTAGTTGATTAATTCTCTTCTAATTTAATGAGCGACTTTTAGAACCGAAAGGAGAGAAGTCGTAGACCTAGGCTCGCATGAGGCAGATAATTTCGTAGCTGAATAATCTATGTGTTTTAGATTGAAGTACGTACTTGTTAATGTCCCGTCCGTTGTTACGAAAAGTTATTGGGATGGTGATAATTGACTTGTGCGGTATGCTTGAGTTTGTTCGTCTATGTTCACTCCCTTGTTACGAAGAGTTATTGGGAGCGAACCGCTAGATGATTAAGCGAGAGTGTCAATCTAGAACCGAATAATCAATGTCCCTATATTGCTAAAGAACTTGATTTAATTATCTCGATTCCCTAGCTTCTCCGTCTTTGTTTCACTCTCATTTCTAGGTAGATTTATATTTTTGCATTGTTCTTTATTTCGTAGCTAATAATTCATCAAATCTTTATCTGATTAGAGTGTTTAGGATTTTTTTTTAATTTTATGTGTTATATCAATACCAAAGCTGAATTCCGAACAGCCTTTCTCGTGAGATCGACTCGGGAAACGAATCTTTTGATTCGGTACTCGTTAAAAAGAATAATTTGTACACAACACCGTGTATTTTTTTTTCCTTAAATTAAAAAAAAAAAGATGGAAAGAAGATGATCTGAGTTCATTTGAAGCCAGCGGATTGTCCAAAATGATCAGATAGAATAGAAAAATGATAATTTGGTATTAAAAAAGTGATTTGATTCAGATAGAATAGAAAAATGCTAACAATATTACATATAATACATTGGATTTTCCATTTATGCCCTTTGTTATGTATTTCCAGATTATAAGTTGTCTTTTGTAATTAGCACTTTTCATTTGAAGCCAGCGGATTGTCCAAAATGATCAGATAGAATAGAAAAATGATAATTTGGTATTAAAAAAGTGATTTGATTCAGATAGAATAGAAAAATGCTAACAATATTACATATAATACATAGGATTTTCCATTTATGCCCTTTGTTTTGTATTTCCAGATTATAAGTTGTCTTTTGTAATTAACACTTTTGGTTGTAATAGGTTTAGTATAAATAGGGTACAAGCTCCTCATTGTAACCCTAATTCATTCACTTTTCCCTCTCAACTCACGCAGCTATGATAATCTTTCCCTTTTGCTATTCTCCCTGATTGTTCATCAATTCATGTTCATAAATATGTGTTCATGTTGATAAATGCACTCGCAAGGTCACAATCTAGCATATATATTCATTAAAAACTGAACTGAATTATTTGATTTGATCCAGAGATCAAATTAGATGCTCATGTACTAACTACTGAGATCAGATTTGATCAATTTCTGATACTCAATCCTAGTTTAATGGTATAGTATAGTAGTATCATAATTTATTTTATGGGTTAATTTGTGTTGATGGAGTTGACAGTTGTAAAAAGATGAAGAATTGAGTTAGAAGAGCATGTTCTGATGAGGATACAACTTGACAAGTCGCCTTGTATTATTAAACAAATTTGACTTTGGGATTATATCCCTTCAACATTGATAATATACATTAGAAGATCACAAAAGCAACCGAGGAGTGATTGAAAGCAACCGAGGAGTGATTGACAAAGGAAGAAGAAGAAGAAGAAGATTATATCCCTTCAACATTGATAATATACATTAGAAGAAGAAGAAGAAGAAGAAGAAGAAGAAGAAGAAGAAGAAGAAGAAGAAGAAGAAGAAGAAGAAGAAGAAGAAGAAGAAGAAGAAGAAGAAGAAGAAGAAGAAGATTGCAATATCTGAAGAAGAAGATTGCAATATCTGAAGAAGAAGATTGCAATATCTGAAGAAGAAGATTGCAATATCTGAAGAGTGCATGCAGTTCAAAAAATTAGTTAGTTTTTTGAGAGGCGGACTAATTAAAAAGGTTACTTTGCATTTCTCCAAACAAATTAAGAACTTTTAAGATCATATCATTCATCAATGCACCAAAGATTATTGGAGTAATAAAAACAGCAGTTCGAGGATTAAATTGTCATTGAAGAAAACAACACACAGAGAGATGAGATGGAGTCAAAAGGATATAAAGACAATTTCAGTAGCATTAACGTGGTCATCACAGTGCATTAGTTGATTAATTATTTTAACCAAGACTTTTACTAATTAATAATAATTTCTCTGCCTCCGCACTTATTGCCATGTGAAACATCTCTCGATCCCTGAGCTTCCAACCGGAGGACCACTGGCTCTTGTTTCTACTATACTTTCTTTTCACCAATAAATATTGTGCGTTACGTTACGTATGGAAAGAAAAAAAAAAAAAATTGAATGAAAATGCATATATAATTGATTGTAGTCTGTAATTTAAAATCAACCCAATCTGAACTGAAGCTTCGTCCCACTGTGTGTTTCTGTAGTACCGTTTGACTTTCTTAAATAAATATTATATGCCTCAAAACTTTTGTAACCATAGAAATAAGAATCCAACGAGCGTGCTTAATTTGTGTGTTTAATTTGCTTTTAGTTATTCATTCTCTTGTGTTTATTACTATTAAGTGATTGAAAATGCAGCAGCAGCAGCAGCAGGAGGATTAATTCATATTCATAGGATGTTTTAGTCTTCAATGCAACCACCCTGAATGTACAAAAAACATGGGGTGCACGTCTTCAATCTATGTAATCGGTAAAAAGAAAAGAAAGATAGTTCCACAAGTTTCCATGTTCATCCCCTTTCTGCGTGTACCGGCTCAAACTGATATACAGAGAACGCTCACGCTCACGCTCGGGGGATTAGTCCCTAAGGATCTTGCCAACAGAATCAACTCTCTCAGGAATCAGATTTCTTTTGTAGCTGAGGACACTGGTTTTTACTTCTTCTTTTTTTTTTTTCTTTTGGTATCCTTATTTATTTATTATTTGTAATTATTGGATTTTTGAATGAATATTCAGGCGGCTCAGCTATTGGTGAAGTGATTAAGGCATTGGGGGAGTACTTGCCCCTTGTCATTGGACTAACAAAGAAAGGTTCTCTGTCTGTCATGTGTTAGTATTTATTTTTGTTTGCCGACAAATTATTGCGTCTTTGCAAGTGCATAACTTTTGTAACATTCATTTGGTTTTGAAAAAAATAAATAAATAAAAGAATATGAGCTTCAGGACTTGGTGGAGTTCAGATGGAAAGATTTGGAAGATGGAAATCAGGTGAAAATTTTATCTATCTTGTACTGGAAATTCGCATAGCTTTTCGATATTATTTTATTTTATTTTATTTTTATGAGCAGGAAATCTGCGTTACAAACTCATGGTTTGAACTATTCTCGGTATTACATATGATGGCTGTGCTGATGCTGATGGAGGCGAATTTGAAGCTAATTCCCAAAGAGAGTAGTGGCCTGTCCGAGAGCCTCCTTTCTCCAGGTTTCTTTTTTATTTGAAACCCACCAATTGTGGCTTTTATGGCTATCTTCTGAAATTAAATATGCATTGAGTCTGATATAGCGAATTTCCATTCATCAGATTGCATGCGCGATGCAGTTGACTTACTGTTGAAAGCAGCCGGGTATCTGAATTTCATTGTTCACGACATTATTCCCCGGTTACCACCAGACGTTAAGTGCGTATAATCGAGTTTCTGGAGAAAATATTAAATCAACTTAATAGTATTATATATATGTGCACAATTTTGGTTAGTGTTGTTAATGATATACATATATGTATGTATAAACAGAGACAAGTTGCCTTCAGATATGCAGGGGAGTGTCCTGGAGTCGATTTTGTACCAAGCCCTGGCAATGGTACTTATCGTCACTGCATCTTCTATTTTTTTTTTAACAATCTAAAAAAATGTGATTTGTGTGCATGATAAATGCTTACCGCTTTCTTATAATATACCAATATCAGGGAACAGAAGTTCAGCTGGGACTAGCCGTGCAAAGCCAAAACGCGACTTTGTCTGTTAAAAGAAGACTAGCGTGCGAACAACTCAGTTTTTTCACCAAGGTAAATCACATGATAATTACTTTTCCTAATCCCAAATATTAATGGACTAATGATATTCAGTTAGAATCATAACTTGTTTATCCCCGTTTTTCAGGCCTATTTCTGCTTATCCGAAGCGGATAATGGAGGTGCCAGGAAGAAGCAATTGTCTTTCCTCAAGTGGAAGCATCTAGAAGCAAAGGTGACCACGACCTAATAATTATTTTTCTGTTTGGCAATATTGGGTTACTTACTTTTATTTGGATTGGTAGTAACACAATTTAGGGTTGCGCTCGTGCGTGTAGGCTGGTGCATACTATTATCACGGTCTAATCTTGGATAAAGGCACCGAGCCGTCGTCCCATGTAAGCGCTGTGTGTTGTTTCCTTGCTGCAGAAGATCTGTTAGCTGAGAGCAAGAAGGCTTGCTTAACCTTTTGCCTTTCACATCCAATTACTAGGTTTGGATATTTATTGCCAGTAAATATTGGGAAAAACAATAAATCATCATATATTCTTTGTGTCTCTAAATTGATAATTTATTTGGCAGGGCTACTCCATCATGGGGTGCAATGAAGCATTTTCACAAGAAAATCCCGAATATGGCGTCTAAGAAATCTCAAATGTACGGCTACCTTCTCGACCAAGAAAAGTAAGAGCAGTTTTTACTTTTTACCAATCTCTTGTTGTAATTAGTGTTTAGTTTTTCAGTCATCCAGCTTGTGCTGATCGATCAGGATATTAATCAGTTTACGACGTACTATTTAACTATGCAGAAGCCTGCAGAGTTTGGCTGATCTTCCAGAATTTGAGTTGTCGCTAAAACCAGACGAGTATGAGCTGCCTGAAGTCGATCCCATGTGGGATTTTGGCAACTGTGAAATTTCTAATCCTGGACAAATGACAATCAAGGCGCACCTCAACAATGATGATGTCGGTGATCATATGTTCGAATTGCAAACTTGAAACACGATTTTGAGGTGTCGGATTTGAATTTTTCGTTCAAGTCTGTAATAAGCATTTCATCATGTCTGTCTGATATTATATATGATGTGTGTAAAGAGTGATAAATCTGATGTAACTGGGTATCATTTCATTTGTTGTTTAAACTCTCTTAATTCAAAAATATATACAACCTTAATTTTGACTTCTTTTTTTTTTTTGCTGAATTGATAAGTAAATAATGATGTGAGCATACAATTTGTTTTCTGTTTACAAATAAAGAACTTTGACCTACACTACTTATCTTCAAGATGAAGAGCGCTGATATTGAAATCGGGAAAGAAAGGAAATACTGCATAATTTGCTGTAACTTTTTTGGACTGGGTTACAGCTCTCAACGTGCCAATCAATTTTAAGTTTTAAAAATTAGCAGTTACACATTTGAATATTTTGCTACCAAATTTAGAATTAATTTAGTAACTGATCCAACATTTAAATATTTTGCTACCAAATTTAGAATTAATTTAGTAACTGATCCAAAAAATAAATAATAAAAATATATATATTAAGGTGTACAACTTTGCTGAGAAACCAGATGGTTGGTTCCCTTATGGAACCAACCACCAATGAGACAGTGCCATTTATTATTCACAGCCCCATGTGGCACTGTGTCATTGATGGTTGGTTCCATAAGGGAACCAACCATCTGCTGGTTTCATAGAAGAACTGGTAAGGTGTAACAGTTTTAATAGATTAGTGAGTAATTAATTAAAAAAATGTAACTCCTTTTGGAGTGAAATGAAAATATTTTTATTAAATGTTTTATAAATGCATCAACTAGTAATTATATATATATATATATAATAATAATAATAATAATAATAATAATAATAATAGAAGACTGTAACATAAAAAGATGGTAAACAATAATCAATATTACTAAATTTATTATTAGTAATTATTAGTAACTAAATTTATTATTAACATAAAAAGATGGAAAACAATAATCAATATTACTAAATTTTATTAATTGTTTTATTAAATACTATTAGCCAGCAATTATATATATATATATATATATATATAGATATAAATATAGATTAGTTGAGGGGCTAATTGGCTAAAAAAGCTAAAATTCAAAGGGCATTGTTATAATTGAGTATAAGTCAGCTACTACTACAAGTATAAAATTGTTAAACTAAACAAGTCGCTTGTGAGCTTGACTCTATTTGATAAGATTCATTAACTTTTTTTTATTAAATACTCCCTCCTATTTTTTTAAATGTCATTCTAGCTTTATCAACTATTTGCTAAATAAATGTCGTTTTAGATCTTTTATATATATTTTTTCATTATTACCCTAATTTAGCTAATAAATACATCACTTCTTTTCATAATCACTCTTTATCTTTTTCTCAAAACATTCATCTCTATCTTCATTAAATAAGGTTATTATTGACAAAAAAAATATTCTTAATAGATGTGCAACATCCCAAAACGACATCTATTTAAAATAGGAGGTAGTATAATTTTCAATAGTTCGACTCGTTAAAACTTGACTCGACTTATTAATAATGATAAACTAGCCGAGCTCAAACTCGATTGCTGTCTCGTGAAGAGGCTCAAGCTCGATTTGGTAGGGCTCATTTACACTCCAAACTGTATAACAAATAAAATGACTTAAAAATAACTTTCCGAGCTAGGCCGTTATTAATGATTAAAAAAAAAAAATCCCAATGGAAATAAAAATAAACATTCAATAACGAAAAGCTCATAATCATTGAGAATTAGGGATGATTTAATTTAGTTTTTATTAGGAAAATCAAAGGCTGCTATTCTTTCAAGTCCCAACATTAGTAGTAGTACTACCTACTTGTTGACAACTAACTCTGTTAATTAATGACCATGCACCGCACGCACATCAACACCTCACATACGAAGAGAATAAATCATCATCAGCTACACTCTACGCCATAAAACCATCAGATTAAAACCTAAACACCCCGCTAACAAACTCAGTCGAACCGGCAATTAAAAAGAATCACAATCGGAGCGTGAGATCCAGGTTCACATGCTCCGGCGCCTCGCCCCGGAACTGCTCCGAAACCGGGCGGCCGCCGCCGAAAACGCCGGCCAGAGGAGCGGTACCAGATCCGGCGTCCAGCTGCGGCTGGAGCCAGTACGAGTAGGGCGGCGTCGGGCCGTCGATCTCGAAGGCGGTGGCGGACGGATGGCGGGGGAATCCGCCGGCAGCCGTGAGCGATCTCCTAGTGGCGGCTCTCTCCCGCTTGTGCGCGTTCTGGTGGCCGCCGAGGGCCTGCGAGGTGCAGAACTTGCGGTTGCAGTAGAGGCAAGAGAACAAGCGAGAGTCGACGGAAGACGATGATGAGTTGCTCGACGGGTCCGCTTTCAGAAGCTGTGAGTTGAGCTTGAAGAAATCGTATGTGCCAGTGCTGGGATCCGCCATTTTCGTTTTCCCGAGCTCTGATGAGAGAGAATATAGTGTGTGTGTGTGTGTGTGTGGGTGTGAGGTAAGTGTGAGTGAATATGCAAAGTACACAGTTATATATATAGGCAGTAGTGCGTGCTTGCCTTGTGGTGTGTGTGTACAGTTTGTTATTTTGGCTTTGTCTCTTTCTACTAATTTTGTTTCCACTTTTTTTTTTAAAATTTTCCTTTTTAATAATTTCTAAATGTAATTAAAATACCTGCAGCAGGCTATCTTATCTATAAACCAAGTTCCTTCTTTTAATCTATAAATAAATAAATAAATGGGGAACTAGCTAGTTCATTAACTATAATTAATCTACTTTACCGCCAGCATAATACTAAAACTTGAAACTGGTCCAAGTTAGTACAATTGTCAAAGATAAAATAAAGAACCCATATAAGATATGTTTATTTCCAACAAAGAAATTAATAATATGTGCATTATATATTCGTGCAGCGAACTCATCAGGCCGATACACGGTTTTGCGATGGAGCCAACAGTTGACCTCATAGTCAGGGGCGGACGTAGAGTTTAAGAACAACGGTGGTACAAACTACGGTCAACGGTTAACGTCGGAAGTCAACTGTCAAATCAATACTTAACCAACTAAAATAATAGAAAGATTAAATTTTAAACAAGACACATTCTTTCTTATTTAATAGTTAGGGGTGAGTCTCACATTCTCATTTTAAGAATATGGACACATTTGATCCAATTCCTATATATAGTCTTGACATTTATGTATAATATTTATTTTTTATGTAACTTTTTAGACAAAAGGAAATAAACAAGAAGTTGAATATAACATAAACATAAATTCCACAACTTAAAAAATAACATACTATTGAAGGTTAAATAATTCTAAACATTTCCATTTTCTTATATTAAAATAATTTTGTATAATAATTAAAAGCATGTATTTTTTTATGTCAATATAATAATACATTTATACATATAACATATATATACTATGTTACAAAAAATCTACCTCTACGGGCCCCTATGTAGATCCGCCCATGTCTATAATAGAGTCAACCTTCTATATACACAAGGGCAGACTTACATGTATAACAGGGGGGGCCATTGTTCCCCCCCAAAGTTTTTAAGTTTTACTATATATATACATACATGCTTAATTTACAATATACTTATATTGTTTATTATTTAATTATTGCATCAATAAATTTATTTATTAATTTAAAACTACATTAGATTTGTTTTAGATACTACTTTCATAGTATAATATTTGTTGTTTCTATTTTTTAGTAATTTAAGGCTTAATCAAATTGAATGTGAGAAATGTAAATATTTAAAAATTGGTTATTTGAAATTGTAGAGCATGTGTGTTTTTTAATTTCATGAGGCTGAATAGAAAATTGCAATAAATTTTAATAATGAGTTCATTGTTAGTGAATTTTATGAATTGAAAGAACATAGAACTCAATTTTATAGTGAAAACTTTATTATTTGCTTTAAGTAAACTTTACTTCTCATATGTACTTCCCTCACAATGTCATCGAAATTGAGATTAGTCAAGTACCTTATATTAAAAAAACATGTCTCATTTATAGAATAAAAAAAATGCGAGGTAAAGCTCGGCTCATCCACTCCGACCGTTTTAATAAATTCAAAATTTAAATTCCTAAATTTTAACTGAATTGTTTTCGAACACGACTATAAACTTGATATATATACTATTCAAACCCGTCTCGTTTAAGTAAGTTTGGCCTCCGAAATTTTATTCTTGAAATAGCTAATAATCGAATAACAATTTAGCCCCTCCCAAATATTTTTTCTAAATCCGCCCCTGTATATACAACAAATAAACCTACCATATTCTCTAATTACTTAAATAACATTAATATAGTTTTATTAATATGGTAAGTTTATTTATTGTATGATAGAAGGTTGACTCCATTATGGAGTCAACTGTTGACTTCATAACAAAACCGGGCTAATGTAATTTTTTGATTTAACTAGCTAGCTAGCTAGTTCTATGTACTCAGTTGAAGCAGCAAAATTATTAACCTAGAATAATATTTGGCATTATCCTAATTAAGCCATGCAACAATAAGGCTTGTTGTACAGGCCGGTGCAATGAGCTTAGTTTGATTAATCTCGTGACATGCCAACCACAAGTGCTGTATCCCCCTATAATAGAAATTGGGGGTGGTCATGTACTTAATAACCTACAACTCAATTGTAACATTTTAAATAAATGGAAATTTCTCCAATTATGTCTAAAGAAATTACTTGGTAGTTAAGATGAGATTGCGCTCGAAGCATTATTATCGTCTCCTGACTTTAATATAATTATTTATTCCTCCTTTTTTATTATTATTTTTTGTTGCATATTTTAATTTTGGTAGGTGATTAATATTTATTTTTTTGGCCTACTCATTTTTTTGGTTATTAGGCAAACTAATTATTTAATTAGGGCTTTGTGGGATTTTATTTATTGGCTATGAAAAATTGGTCAAGTTCATGAATTAAAAGTATTGTATCTTGGGGTTTTTTATCTCTTGTTTTTCTTTTCGTACGCTTTCACTATGTCATTAATTATTGGTTTACTTGAAGTCTTGAAGATAAATACATACTAATTAGTGAACAAAACTGGGAATGCCTTAAATAACTTTGAAGATCGAGCTACCTTACATAATTTTAAACATAATAATAATACTACGTACGTCTAATGCGACATAAGATTAGCAAATCATATAACAGTGAATATATATTGTATTGAAAGATCACAAATTTTACACACAGTTAGTACTTAATTAACTGCTGAGAGCGAGCCAGCATGTGGAAACATGCTTTCAACGGATAAAAGAAATTAAAATGACCCTAATTATTTTGTTATATGTATAAATAAATACACACATATATATATGTGCACATATGATTTGTGTAGATTGGCAGTACAATTTTGAAACTTTCTACTGAAATGAGGGGAGCCCTATACTATATAAATAGAAAATAGAGAGCTAGTTTTTAATTTTCTGAAAGTGATAAGACATCAAGAGCATGGGCTTGACGTCCAAAGATTTGAAAGTATATACATATATATATATGATAATAATGGAATGGATGTGTGTGCGTGTTGAGGAGACGTGTACGATGAGAATTTTGATACACAAAGGAAAAGCCTTATTGTCCAATCACCTTGGATGCATCAAACTGACCAAATTCATCAATCCAAACTAACCCTATGCTATATGTATATATTGATTGATATTTTTTGTATATATATAAATGCATAAACATATCCGAGGTAAGGCGACATAGTACTAACTTTGTAGTTTTATGCGGAGAAAGCAAAGCCTAGATTGGTAATTTAATAATGGGCGGGCTGGGTACCTACGCCTTTTACACGACAATGTACCACTTTCGCTGCACCAAACTGGTGTTAGCCCCATACATGCAAATGGAAATTGTTGGGTTTACACTTTTAAGTTTAATATAATAATAATAAATATGCAAAAAAGTATAGATGCAAATGGAAATTGTTGGGTTTGCACAAACCCTTTTAAGTTTAATATAATAATTATGCAAAAAAGTATATATGATACTACTTACCATTACATGAGTACCAAAAAAAAAAAAAAAA